AATAATTAATTAAATATATATAATGGACAAATATAAATGTAAATTAAAATTCATTTGGTCTAAATAAAAGCTCATTATTTAAAAAAAGAGATGAGGCAGAGGAGAAAATGTGCGGGTAAATCGGTGATGCTCATTTTTAATGATCACCTTTTGAAACTGCAGTTTGAAAAGTTAGATTTTCCTCCATTAAATCCAACTGAGGTTGAAAATTAAAAATTGTTTAGAAAAGTTAGCCCAGCCAAACAATATTTTTTGTCCAACTTAGTTTGCAACCTCAGTTTTACTATTTTCAAGACACTAACAGAACACATCCAAACATGTACTAAGTGGGTCATAACAAAGGAATTTGGGTATCTATCCTAAAAGGGTGTTTAGGTACCCTAAAAATACTTTTTCGTAATCAAAATAAATTTTTTTACATATTTATTTTATATTTACATAAAATATATTTTAAAATTATGATTTTGTTTATGTCTAAACACTTCTAGTATACCGACAGACTGAGGACGAAGCCAACAACGGAAGGTGAAATGACAAAGTTACCCATGAAAAATATCGGTATTGCGTGGCGGGAAAGTCAAATCATAATGGGTATCTATCCCCGACCACCGACCTACCCCCCTTCTGCCGTCCCACTCAATTATTCAAATTACAGAAATTTGTAATTTTTTTAAATAGAAAATTGAAAGTAAGTTCTGCCAAAAAGTTATTTTTCCCCACTGCACTCGGTGGCAACGGCGCCATCCATCGCTTCCCCCACATATCAGATTTTATAATAATAATAATAACTAATTATTAAATATTCTGTTTTAAACAAGGACAAAAACCGGACCGAAATTAAACCGTAGGCAGTGGGTTAAGGGTTAATTTTACTGGTCAGACCGTGGTCGGACGGGGTCAAACCGGTCATATTAAAATAATATAATTTAATTCATAATATTAAAAATATCATATTGATTATTAGTCAATATTTTTTGTAACCAAACGATTACCAATGAAAGCTGAAACCACAATAAAAAAGATTGTGAAAATCGACTTCAAATTCCCTGGAATTTATGTCCCCTGTTTTTGACTTCATTGGCTTTGAAATCTCAATAAAGAAGATTTTGGCAGTAGGTGAAAAAAGCGAAAGAGCGCCGAATTCCCCTCCCACTACTTCTCCCTCCAATATCATATATCAGCGCATAAAAAAAAGCACAGGCCCAAGAAGTTTCGACCTTTCTTCCTCTTCTTCTCTCTCTCTCTCTCTCTCTAACTTTCTTTCAGTTTACCGGATTTCTTTCCTCGTTCAAATCTCTCATTGAGTGCACCTATAAACCATTGAATCTCTCTCCACAAAATCTTACTTTTCGAACTAAAAAAGATGGCTCTCAGCTAAATTTTCACTCTCACTACTTGTTGCTACGCTTTGTTTTCACTATGGAAATGTACTTGCTGCTACCGCTACGCTCTGTTTTCATTACTTGGTGCTGCGCGAGCGAGAGGGGAGGGAAGGGAAATGAGGGAACTTGACAGGAAAACCGGAAGAGAGAAGAGGCGGTTTTTTTTTTTTTAATAAAACGGTGCCGTTTAAGATAGCTGACAAGTGAAAAAAAAAAATACAACCGGGTAACCCACTGAACCGGATTCACCCGGTTTAATACCGGTTTTTTCCGGTTTAAACCGGTTTTTCACACGGTTCAATGGACCACCGGTCTAATATTAAAACCGGACCGGACTGCAGACCGGTTTTACCGGTTTTTCCGGTTGAACCGGCCGGTCCGGTCCGGTTTTTTTTCCTTGGTTTTAAACATATTTATCTCTCTTCGTCTCTCTGATTCTTCTGCAAAACTTGGGAGGAATTTTTTTGTGTGATTTATTTATGTAATTCAAAAGAAAACTCTTTTTTATATTCTATAAATTATATTAAAAAGTTATTTTGAATGATTTTAGGGAAAATTGCAAAAAATATCTTGGAATTACAAAAACGCAGATAGGGACCCTTAACAATTTCACTATAGCTTTTAACAATAATAATATGTCGTCAAAACTCAAAGTGAAGTTGTCAAGGGTTTCTGTCTGTGTTTTTATAATTTCAAAGTTTTTTTTTAATAATTTCCCCATGATTTTATGGTAGTTCCAAACAAGTTCTTAATATATTTATATTATATTAAGATGCAGGCATTTATATTCTATTCATTTCGATTCCTGAGGTGCTTTTAAACAATGAAAAGGAATTGTATTTTGCCCAATTGATTTTGTATTTTACCTGATATTTTCCTTGTGCAAAAATTTAGAAATTGAATTACATCGGTATTACTTATAAATAAATAAATAGCACAAGGCAATATACAGATTTTAATTTTTATATTGATTGATCTCGTATTCATTTTGGGGGGGGGGAATCCTGTATGAATTAGATACAAATCCCATGCATTTACGCATCATTTAATCGATTTTGTATTTACCAATATTTTATGCACAAAAAATTGTATAATACTTAAAAAAAGATAAACGCATAGCTTATAATTTGATAAGAGTATAATTTATTAAAAGTTTCATATATTTTTTTATGATGAGAATGATTGATTTTGTACTATACGAAATATTTTTGGAGTGCAACTTGCAATTCACGTCTTGATCGATTGTGACATGATGCCTCCATTTTATTTTTAAAAAAAATTAGGAAAAATCTAAAAATCAAATGGGATTGACAATTTGCCCGCAAAGGCATCATCAAAGAAACAACGTACGTACTTAATGACGAAAGGGGGAAAGCATCTAACTTCTGCTCAAGTTGATGGTCTGAAATGCCATCATCGTCTGAAAGCGAGAGCCCCACATATCCCCACTGGTATTAGGTTATATGACATTAATTTCTGTTGAAATTTGATCGATGTCCTTAGCATATATCTTTAAAAACATAACACATGATTATCATTGAATTTATTTTTATATGCTTTAATTCTGATTTTTTTAGTACTACTTACAATTTTTAATATAAGAGTTAGTTTGACATTTAATTTGATACTGAATATAAGACTCCGATCTATTTTGTTTCTCGTATTTATTTATTTTTTTAAAGTAGTTGTTGTAATAGTTGTACATGTTAAATGTTTCATCAAATGATAGTTTTAGCTAATACACATCATTAACAAGAGTATTTTAGAAAAGACAATACTTATTTATTATAAATAACCAACTAAACTAATTTTCTTAATCTATTCAAATTAGTCAACCGGTTCTTATATTAAGTATAAGAGGTAGTATATACAACCTTCAATCCTTAATACGAGGGTTAGTTTGACTTTCAATTTAATTCTAAATATAAGACTCCAATCCACTTTGTCTCCCATATTTATCTATTTTTTTCAATGTAGTCTTTGTGGTAGTTGCACATGTTAAATGTTCAATCAAATAGTAGTTTTAGCTAATACATAATTAGCAAGGGTATTTTAAAAAATAGAACACTTAATTATTATAAACAAGTAACTCATTAAGTTTTTTTAATTTACTCAAATTAGTCAATTAAGTCTTATACTGAAAAGTGGAAGTAATATGATACAAGAAATCTAGTAATCTCTTAAAATTGATCTCCCCCGGAATATTGAGAGGAAACTTCCAACTATTTGGATAAGTGAGGAGAGCTACTTTCATTTAATTTTTTAAAAATAAATCTATTCGGTCATATTAGATGTTAGAATTATCTTAGTCATTTTATTTGTTATTTCAAACATAAGATTAATCCCTTACCATAAAGAAAGCTGTATTTTGAGAAGGTGTATTATTACTTCACTAACCAGGCAAGAGCGTAAAAGGCCAATTGAAATTTTGAATAAACATGTAGTCCTTTCCCAAACTTTTAACACGGAGGCCTCGAGCAAATCGAGACAAAAAGAAGGATTCAAGACTGCAAACAAAATTTCATATAAAAGTAGCAGGGTTTCCTCTGGTACCACGCAATTCTCACAACTGAATTGAATTGAATAATTCATAATTTATGAATATTACGATTTATTAAAAATGCGTTTATCATACAGAGTGTATGATTTTAATTTATAGGCAGTCATGGCTCACTTCTAACTCTTTTCTCCCTATAAAAAAAATTTAAATGAATTGAATTATAAGGACTTAGGAGGTGTTTGAGATGATGTAAAAGTACTTTTTAAAAGCACTTTTCTGTAAAACTAGATAAACTCTTTCACATATTTATTTTGTATATCGTAAAAGCACTTTTAAAATTATGGTATAGTTTCCATTCAAACACCCCCTTAACGAACATCCATGATTTACCTCTAACTCTCTCTCTATATAATATTTTATTTATTTAGTTTTTATTCACTTATTTCATTAAATTTTGGAGAGATTGCAAAAAAATGCCTTGGAATTGCAAAAACGCAGATAGGAACCCTTGACAATTTCACTTTAGGTTTTGACAACTTCATGACATATTATTATTGTCAAAAGTCATAGTGAAGTTGTCAAGAGTCTCTGTCTGTGTTTTTACAATTTCAAGGTCTTTTTTTACAATTTTTTCTTAAATTTTTTATTACCTTGTTATCTTCCCTTTTTTTTTGTGGACCAGCCCTTGTTATCTTTCCTTGCACAGGGACAAAGGATGTCTTGTTATTAGATGTCATGTAACCATTTTGTATTATTATTTTAATATATCAGACACAATTTTCTTGCCTATTAAATACATAAAACTAGGTGAGAAAGCATGTTCATATGAAATTTGAAGCGATCGAGCTAAATGATTTCTGATTTATAAATATCACAACTTTATATGAATTTCATATTTCTTGGTATTTTAAATTTTATTCTATATTGATTATATTTGGATCCATCCTCATGGAATCATAAAATAGAACAACAGAGTTGAGATTAATGATTAATTAATTAATTAATCTATTTGGGGCCCCGCCCCCGGGGGGAGAAGAGTGATGTGGTTGTCGGTGAATTCGGTTATTTTAAAAATGTAATAATGAAAATTGATGTATAAAAGAGAATGGGCCTCAGAGAAACCGACGTGGAGGCTTACCCACATGACAAAGCTTAGTGGCCGAGTCGCATGAGCCTCTAAAGCCATCCCCGCCTCCTCCTCCTCCTTCGTTTTCCCGTTTCTCATGAAGATCCGCTTCCTCTCTCTCTGATTCTTCTGATTTTACTGCACCAACAGTAGCCAGAAGCTTTTTTCACCTTTGTTTTTGCAGAAAATGGAAGCTGAGCAAGGGGCTATGGGCGCCAAGAAGAGAGGGGTCGAAGGAGAGAGAAGGTACAAAGGGATTAGGATGAGGAAGTGGGGCAAGTGGGTCGCTGAAATCAGAGAACCCAATAAGCGTTCCAGGATTTGGCTCGGATCCTATTCTACCCCCGTCGCCGCCGCCAGAGCCTACGACACCGCCGTTTTCTATCTCAGAGGACCCTCCGCTCGCCTTAATTTCCCGGAGCTTCTCGCCGGAGAAGGCTGCCTGGCCGCCTCCGGCGACTTGTCGGCGGCTTCGATTCGTAAGAAAGCTATCGAAGTCGGCGCCAGAGTGGACGCCCTGCAGGCTGTCCCCCACCACCACCCGTCAGCGGAGGCATCGGAGCTCATACCTCGCGGTGCCGGAGCATGTGTTGACCTGAACAAGATGCCCGAACCCGAGAACCCGGAGTGTAACTGAGGTGTGGGTGGTGACTAACATGCGCCACGGAGGTTGTACGGCGGCTGAAGCAGAGTGATGTTGATGAAGCCTTCCTGAGGAATACTGTACTCTATCTTCTTCCTTTCTCCCGCCTCTCCTGCTTCGCTCGTAGTATTTCCTATTTAGATTTTACAGAAGAAATTTTGGCGTTGTAAAAAGATGTTAAATGTAAATTATTTAGTTAAAAGCAGCTCCTTTTAACTCTTCACTCTTCGTTTCTTTTCTTTCTTCCACGGATATTTCCTCAATTGCTTGCTGAGCTATTGTCTTCATTTCTACAAAATGGAGAGAGAAAAAAAAGTAGTAATAATAATAATAATTGTAAGTTGGGCCTATGGAAATTAAAAAGGGAGGGAAAGGGGGAATTTATGCGATGAAATAAAGAATGGAACAGGGAGGAGGGGACAAGAGTGGCCAAGGATGTTGAGTACAAGGGAGAGAGAGGGGGGCCATGGTAACCACTAAAGAGATATAGGTACTAAAAAAGCGATAAGATTAAGAGTTAGGTATTTTCCTGGTTCTGTAGTGTGCTGATTATGAGTAGGGAATAGCTTTGGGACCAGTGAGAGGGGGAAAAAATAAAAAATTTGTGATCGGTGACAACGACCCATGATGGGGCCTCTTAATACTGTTTTTCTCCTAATTTGGTCAAATCACATCTTAAGCAACATATGTATCTACCAAATACAAATCAAGTCAGTAAAAGGAAAAGATTCTCCCATGTTAAATGGAACAATTACAGCTCCTGAATTAACCCATTTCACTCTGAGCTGTATCCCATATTCCGGGTGTTTCACTTGGACCTGCGAGATTTTAAGGTCCGCATGAAGATAACTCCATAATTAGCGGAGGGATGGTAATTTTTTAGTCTACTAGTTTGGGTGAGCAAGAGATAGGGGATAGCATAGGGTTAGAAGCAAGCGTGTGATTAATTAATTCATGAAAGCTAGCCTCTCAGACTAAAGTTATATATAATCACCAGTGGTTGAATCTGCTAAAAGCGGGGCTCAATGCATGAAACAAAGATACGAGGTACAAGACAAAACTGATCAGAACATCAATGGTGGAGAGTGTGCAAATCTTTGTTCACAGTTGCAAAATGCAAAAGAATATTTTTCTAATATCCCTCTGAGCCTATTCTCCAAACTGGAAGCATGCCGAGTAGCTTGGGGAGTCGGAAGCAAAACCTCAATTGAGAACCCCTCCTGATTTCTTCCGTACATCAACTCGTTCTCTGCGTAAAATTTTTTCTTTTCCTTACAAAGAAAAATGGGATGAAAAGCTTGTTGAGGCCCATATGGCCTTAGGGACCAAAAAATACAGAGACCGATCACCGATGCAAGATATAAGAATGGCAATATGGTTGAGTCCCAAAGAGCTTTAGAAAATGAAACACCTTGAAAATTCACCCCATCATTTTCAGCAATCATTCTGCCCGCGATTCTATTTAGTAAATACATGGCTCCTTAGCAATGCCAGGAAGGGTAACAGATATTTTTCACTCCAAGCAGCCAACGTTTTGATAATGAGCCATTTCAGACGTGTTACAGCAAAACAATGATTCTATGATATAAAACATACATGCATAAACCAAAATTTCGATTCTAATCATAGCTATCTCCTGTGGCCTCAAAGGGAATAATATGCTCCCCCTAAAGTAGATTCCAAATTCTATTATGCTTTCTTTTCGTTGTCTCGTTTCATTTGAAGCGCAGCTCTGACAACATTTCCTCTGGTGATCAGCCCGACCTTTCAGATCATAAAGAGCGCCTTAGAAACCAAAAGTCAAAGAAGCATACTTACAGAAAATTGGACGGTGGAGGGACGAATCTCTTACCAGCTTCCCATCAGCGTCTACAACAGGGAGACGTCGAAATTTTGTCTCCAGCAATAACCTAATAATAACCATATTGGAACATTTTCATCCTTTTCCATGAGGTGAGATATGGAAGTTAAACAAAAAGGGAGAATGAGGCAGATATAAGCACCTAGCAGCATCCTCAAGATTAGTGGTTTCCCGCACCACCATAGGGGCAGGGGTCATTAATTCACCGACCAATTTCCCCCTGGTTTTACTCAGCAATTTCTGAACTTCGTTGAAAGTCTACAAGCCATCAGGAGATTAAGATTTAACTTCCCTATGACAATATTTACAAGTCTGCAGTCCATTAAAATCTTTACAAAAGTTATTAGACAAATCCTGAACCAACTAGTTAGTTAAAAAATTCAAATTTTATGTGCAAAGGAATGCATTCTTCAAGTACTTTTCTTTCCCTTTCCACCCATCTCGTATAGGTTTGGGATGAAATTGTTTCTGATAAATTTCATAGAGGGCACCTCAATAGATGGTCTTTAACCACAACGGGGTGGACAACGCAACACCAAGAGGGACAACTAAACTGTTGGTTGTTTTCCTTTCAAAATTTGATCAGTGGTGAATATCTCCAAAAGAGAATTTTATTAATCAAACTCTACCACGCTGATGCTGTGAGGGGAAAAATAATAAAACGAGCTTCATTGCTTCAATGGGGATCCTGAGAGGGAAGCATGCCAAGCTTTTCTTGCATGTCTAAACATTAAATATTTCAAAATCATACAGGATATCGCCCAATCCCAGCTGATGATAGATCAGGTGAGTAGGATCAACATAATCTTTCCAATTTGGCTACAATCAGTAATTACATTGTAGCAACCACCAGCCATCAGTAATTACATGCATTAAAAAAAAAAAAAGTCCATTTATTTCATTTTAATTCTCAAGTAAAGGTGTTCAACGGGGCAATATTTCCCATCTGAGAATGTTGAGGAAGCAATTATAGGATGCCCAATTATAGTAATATGCGATGACTGGGAGAAATGGTTTTTCAGTTCAGGCCATAAACCAGTATTAGACGTCCTTCCAAGGCTTATGAGATCGGGTAGCCAGCTTGGTATAACATGGATAACTGATCAGACACTGAGTAATACGTACTCACTCAACTCAAATTCAGTCATCTCTATTAATACCAATATAAACTCTACTTTCCCTAAGCAGGAGTTTTATAAGAAGTAAGACCATACAAAAAAAGGAACTTGATAAAAATGAACTGCAACAGATGCTTCTACTTACTTTCCAAGTGCTGTCAACTTCCGGAAACATATCGTTATTATCAGTCTTTGGGTGACCTGAAAATCAACATTGCACATTGCTTGAGTTATAATAGAATAATGTCTTTGCTTGAGCTATAATACCAAGAAATGTTTGAAAATTTCCTCACTCTTAAAATTGCTCTTCAATGTTTTAATGAGAAAAGTATACTTTCCAGTTTCAACAAAACAAAAAAGGAGAAGATAATATACGTCTAAAATCAATTTACCTGATATTGAGTCTAATGCTAACAAGTCATAATCCGAAACAACACCAACCTGCGAGATATTAAAGAACCTTCAGAAATTATCCCACCATATGATCCATTCCGCAATACTCTGATGAACTAATCACAAGAATTTGAGCACGAAAACTTAAAATGGCAGAAACTTAAAGCATATTAATTACTAGTTATTAGTTATTAATTCATCAGGTTCAATTTTGTTAGAAAAACAAAACTTTAAAGCCTCTAAGTTGTTTATATTGAAGGACTGAACTGTAACTATTTCATCTGCTCGGTACAACTCATCATGGTCATGCCAAATACACACAATAACAGTATGGTAAAGAGCTGAGAATAATTCACAAAGAGCGTTCTCATTTATTATTAAAGAAATGAACTAGCCTCTAAACAAATCTTTAGCCAGACCAACACCAATTACCAAAGACAATAAACTGAAATAAAAATAAAAATGGCCCTCAAAATACGACGAGCAAAATATCCAAAGGCTTATAACAGGTGCACAGTTTTTCTGGCCAAGTATAATTAGAGTAGTCATGGTATAGCAATGAGAGAAATGGAATTAAGTTATGAGAAATTGAGAATAAAGAGTGTTAAGTGAGAGAAAAGAAATTTAACTAGTTGAAAAACTTATATATTGTGCTTTAATTATTGATGTACATATAATCTTCTTCTTTTTTTAATTCATTATTTACACCGTTGGGAAGAGAAGGTTGCTTTTTAAATTTGAGATAAAAACGGAAGATAGAAGGCCGCCAGATATTAGAGACACCAATCTAAAAGCACATATAGAATGATCAACAAAGTGGCCGTGGCCAACTCACTAATTTCCAGTCATCATCAATCACAGGAAAACCAGTTATTCTGTGTTCTACAAGAGCTTCAAGAGCTGTCACAAATTGGAGCCACGGAAAAGTTAGTATTTAAATATAAGCCCAAGAAAAATGGTAGCATGTAAGCAGACATATCACATAAACTCAATGAGAGAATATACCTTCATCCACAGATGTTGTAGGATTTACCACGTGCAAATCCTCTTTCCTTGTCATAAATTCACCTACAGTGTAAACTTCACTTCTTGGCTGCATATGTTGCCAGAAAAGCGAACCGCATTAAAATTATGGTAATACAATGAATATACATATATATGGGGTAAAAATTGAGATTGTAACTGTAGCAATCCGTAGAAAATACTGTATAAATTGGAAAGGCTTAATTTGCTATGGGCCCCCTACTCCATGGAGGAAGGGCCTCTTTCTACATGGAAATGCGAGAGAAAACGCTGTATTCAAAATTGAACTTGTTCTCTGTCACTCCTCATATTGAAGCATCCAGCTAGAAGATAATTACATAAATAAGGCTGATCAGCTGCAGCATTAAGGAAGGCGCTTCTGAAGTATAACTATTAAAGACCGCTTCTTAGATGAGGGCAATATGTCAACAATTAATTTTCCTCAGCGGGGTTCAAACCTTAACCATTTGCTCCCCGCCCCCCCGGGGGGGGGGGGGGTCTTGAGGAAAGCAAGACAGATTTCTCTAATTGAAAGGACTGAACCATAGTTAATTAATCATAACATCGGTTTTAAGAAAATGCTCATCTAATCTAAGCATGTGTTGAAAGTCGCAACAGTGTTTCGTATTTAAGCTCCTCATTCAATGCATCGTGACGAGCACGAATCAACAGAGCTGGCACTAAAATTCACCTGAATGTATTTAGAAGCCAAGTACACTATGTCATGCTCTAAAGTCTGAATCAGTTCAGTTATGCAGCCAAAGAGCATATTTAATCAATCAATTAATTAATAACAAATTACGTCATTAAAAAAGGTAGAGTGAAAGCAAAAGGGGGAAACCTTTTGTTGGATTCGAAGATACACAAACTAAAGAAATGGTCCTATTTGAAGATATGAGTAGAGCAGAAAGACATACGGGCACGGAATTAACCACGATGGAGTGACCGGCGGCCACCGGCATTCGACGAAGCCCGGGAAGTGGAGCGGAGCGGCCAAAACTTCGAAAATGGGAGGAGGAGGAGGCATGAGTGTTCAAAGAGGGTAAAGAAGATCGAAGGAAGAGGGATTGTCGCGGGGTGGAAGTAGATGCAATGAAGGGGAGTGTGTCCAGAAGAAAACTGGACTCCATATTCGCTGAACTTCGCGCGCAATTCAGCAAAGCTAGGCGGCGAAACCAATGAGGAAAGTATACCGAGAGGTTTAAGCTCCTGATACGGATGGATGGAATAGCCGATCCCCCGACAAAAAGACGCTGATTTGTCTGTTGCCTCCAACGTGTAGTCGCAACTCGCAGGATATAATTTGATCACATAACCAGTAATTTCGTTCCCATCCTTCAACTTGAAACTTTTTCTTTTTAACTTTTTATACCACTTGATTTCTTCTACTTTACTTTTTCCCGGGATTCAATTTATTGCCTCGACTTTACTACGTCAGATACTCAAATAGTCAAATTTAATACTAAAAGACTTTCTTTTCTCGAGTACAGTAAATCCAATTAAACAGGGGGAAACTAACAAAGCAGTTTAAAATGCTAATTTAAAATCTTTATTTCCATGAAAAAGAATTTTAGAAAAAAGATCAGATTTAGTTATTGAGCACCTCTCAAAGGAGTGGAAACCATTCTTAGGGGGTGTCTGGGTAGTACTGGAAGTATTTCTGAAAAGTACTTTTTTGTAAATAGAGATAGACTTCTCCACATATTTACTTCGTATACAGTAAAAATACTTTTAAAATCATAGTTTTGATTCCATTCAAATACCCCTTTAGTAATTAATGGGAAGACGGAAAAGCACCAACGAAACTCCTCCTCTTCATGTCCTGGAAATTGGTCCTCTGCTACCGCCAGGTGATGTTTTGATGTGAAATTGAACCATTTAGAAGCCTGAGTAATGGTAAGGATTTTTATTTCAAAAAAAAAAAGTGCAGGTCTTGAAACATGTTTAATAGAAGTAAAAATGGTAACTAATGCTTATAAAAAAAATGATATCTTAAGTATCGACAGCTAAAAAATAATACTCGTAATTAATAATTTTTTTTACCAGCAAATAATAATCAATAATATAAACGAAATAGAATACTATAAAAGTATAAAACAGTCAAATTTAATTCAAACAGTTCAGACTTTACGGTTAACCGTAAGACCCAAGTCAAAATACCGGACACAATTTTTTTTTTTTTTTTGGGTATAGAGACAGATTGTTTTAGTTAAAAAAAGAAGCATTATTACTCGAAGGATAATTATAAGAGTTGCAGGCCAAGAAAGCCCAGTTATCAAGGTCTGCACCGCTATTTAATTTCAAATATGTTCAAATAACCAATAAAGCTTAAGTCCTGTGAAAAAAAAGAGTTAATGTCTTATAACGTTATGAATCAAAATTTAAATTCTACATGGGAGAAAAACTTCTGGCCGTGCAACCCAAAATGCACTCTTACACAAACACTACTCCTCTTATCCTTAATGTAAAGCTACTTAATTAATTAATTTTAATAAATGTGATGTAATCTTCTTAAAATCTTAATATTATTATAAGTCAAATATAAAAAAAACATGAAATAGAGCGTTTGTGATTGTATTGACTATTAAGCCCAATCATCCTTTTTAACTTTTTCCCTAAAATGTGGCCCCAGTTCCAAACATGTGGGAGGAAAAATATTGGGCCACGAAACAATGATGGCCATTGGAAATCAGCTCTCTATCGCAATTAATGGACTGAGAAGTTAAATTAGAAAGCCCAGCTTGATATGCATATCAATGCCCACCGTAGTTGGGATTCATGGATTTATTGGGCCCTTTTTATCCGAATGAGTTTGTTGGGCTTGAGGCCCATAAAATAATGGCCAACATAGTAGTTCTTAACTCAAGAATTGACGACACGTAGAGGCCCATATAACGATGGCCCTTGAACGTATTTTCTGATAGACATATAATGCCCAATTTCCAATATGTACCGTAGTTTCTTTTAGGTAAAAAAAAAAAGTCAGAATTTTTACTCACAGAACATCACCGTCAAATGTGTGATTATCTTGAAGAACATGATTGTATAAAACTGGCTTCAAACGAACAAATCCAGCCGATTGAGATCACGAGGGAGAGCTTCAAACAAACTAAGCATGATGTATATAAAGTTTAAGATTCCTTTCATCAAACACGAAATCATGGCTATCTTAAATTAACATGTTTATTTAAACAGATCATCGAACCATTTTTTATAAGTATACATATTGGACTCACTAGTATACGAGGATCTTATTAATGTGTGACTCTATCGTTGTCTTTTATGCTGTGTGCGGAAGGTTAAGTGTGAATTAACGGGTCATAAAAACGCAATTTACCTGAACCTTATTTGATGTAAGAAGAGTCTTCCACGAAATGATGACAGAAATTAACACATGCCCGCCTACCTAAAAGATAAGTTTAAAAAAGGGGGTAAGTTGGGCAGTGTGGGAAGGGGCAAGCAAATGGCACCAAGGGCGTGGTAACAAAGGAACCAATGAGTGCGTTGGCAAGTTGCATCTCAAATTCTGCGGACGACATCGAAAGTTGTGAAATTAACATTCATAGCTTAATGTTTTTGGAAAGTGTCCCCAGGACAAGGTTGTTGTCAACTTGCTATTTTTGAATGCCCTCCCCTTATATTATTGACACAACGTCACCTGTCAACACCTTTTGTCCATTATATTAAACCCCATTATCAACGCCACAAACACATACGTTAAATTGATACTCCTTTGGAATAAAGTGACCAGACCAGAAATTTCCAGATTCAATGCACATATAACGGAGAAGGCAAAAATCAAGTTGGGGCTGGAGGTTGGGTTTTGATTAGGATTCTTTTCTTTTCTTTTGAGTTATTACAAAGGAGAGTTTCCTAAAGAACGACACTGAGTTGGCAAGTGAAGTTGCTTTTGCTTTATAGAGATTGTTTGGGGGTGGAAGAAATCGACCTTGCTAGAACAAGTTTAATTTTTTTTGGGTTTAAACAGAAAGAGAACTGTCAAAATATAATATTTTTGATGGCTTTCCTTTCAATTATTTTGTTTCTTTTCATTCAGAAATAGTGTTTTGCTGTGAATGGCAGGACGCCCACTAGCAATAAAAGAAGGGGCATGTACTTGTTTTTGGGGAAAGAGGGTGTTCCCTTTATGAGTGAAACTTCGTTTCAACAACAGTTACTTTCGTACTTTTCAAGAGTTTTTTTTTACCTTATCATCATCATCACCAACCCCTATTGCTAATTTACTATATGCAACATGCTTCTCATTTTTGTGGTCGTCCTGTTCCCTGGATTATCAGTCCCTGTCCCGGCTCATCCCCGTTCTTAACCCTTTTCTTTTTTTCAGGGGGAAGAAAAGCATCACTTATTTGCTTTTGAAAAAGAAAATACTTTCATACAAACTGAAATAATATTCTTCTTACCTATTTACTTTGTATATTATAAAATTATATTTAAAAAAATAAATCTAATCACATTCTTAGCTTTTTGAAAGTAATTTTACGAGTTTAAAATAAGCATATGAGAAGAGTTTTATCTCGATTTGTATAAAAATTTGCTTATAAATGATTTCAAATAAGCCCTAAAAAGCCCATTTAGAAAAACTTATGAGTAGTTTTTCAATTGTGATTTATGAAATACGAGATAAATATATGAGAGGAGTTTTGTCTCGATTTATATGAAATGTGATTATAAGTACTTTTAAGTGCTATTAGGATTAATTTTTTAGTAGTTTTTCAAGATACGAGATGACTGTGTGAAAAAAAATCCTGTGAAAGCATAACCTTTAAATGCTCTTCTCAGTACACGAACACCCCCCCCCCCAAAAAAAATTGCTGCGGCAGTTGGGCCGGATGGGAAAAAACTGAAAACTTGTCAAATGAGATAGTGGAAAAGATCAAATGCAGAATAATTGAGAAAGCACTGATTGAAAAATACGATTTTGTTCTAAATGGGGTGTTTGAGGAGGAACACAAAGTGTTGAGGAAAAAAGAGTGTTTTGGCATGCAGGGAGAATTGAAGTGAGAATGATGGTAAATGGCATGAAGTGATAAGGCATAGGCGAGAAGGCTTTTGCACCACAGATTTTGGGTTTCCTGTCTCCACAATAACACTATGGTCCCCTCTCTCCCTTTCCCCTTTTCATATAACTTGTCAAACACATCAAGACAAATCCCATTGCACGACGCCCCTTCTCGCTCCTTCTCTTGCATCTGTTCATTTAATAATTTAATAATCTGTCTTTCAAGCTAAAAACACCCTCAAAAACTTTTGTTTTGCCAAAATTACCATGAAATCCCAAGAAAAAATTGTACTCCCTCCGTTCTTTATTATAAGAGACATTTGATGTTTATGGCATGTTCCTATATATAAAAGACACTTAAAAGTTGCATCTACTTTTTTGTGTTGATTTTCTATTTTACCCATATTTATTTTGTCTCCAATTCACACTCTCTTTCCCTCCTACTTCTCTTTTTTAATAATTTAATTGTTCGCTCTTATGCTCTCTCCTTATTAATGAGGACATTTTTGGAAAAAAAATTATACTTTTTACACATTGATTGTTCTTAACTAATTTTAACTTCTTTTTTTATTAACGTAATTCGATTATTCGTCTCTTATAATAAGAAACGGAGGGAGTAATCACCAAGAAGGAGGACAATAACAGTTAATATTTTCTCGTCGCGTTAAAATCTAGGTGCATTGGGAATATACCTTTGAGCAAATATAGTGCATAATGAAGTGTTCATATTCATAAATTATTGATCAAACAAAGTCGTCGTATTAATAGCAGGATTTAAATATACGATATAAAGTATTATAGGTCAAGTCTTTAATAGCTGAATTAATAATTATCAGAACTACGTAGCAAATTCCAATTAATTTGAATGGAATTAGGTAATGTCACGTATATGTACAATTATTCATAATACAAAAAATTGGACTAAATTGGTTAGTTCAACCGAAAAATCAATAAACTGGCTATTGATCCGATTTGGTTTAAGTGCCAAATCAATAAAGAGCCGAATCAGTATCAACCCGACCAAGCTGATATGAATTGCCAGTTTAGGTTATGTTACTATTGGTCTTATATTTTCTCATTCAGTTCCTAATATCTTTATGACTACAGATTTGAATAAATTTTAACAATGATTTCTATATCGATGATTATTAATTTTAGTTATTGAGAAATAGTAAAAATCAAAATTCTCAATGTTATTATACTTTGTTATTGTTACAATCAAACTATTATTGCATTTCTTTGTATTTTGTTG